TTTCTACGTGTAATCTGACTACTGATATCCACAAGTAGTTTCATGAATATCATCAACAATGGTTGATTTCCATTGTAACGAGTGTGAATACGTGTCGATGTTCCAACTTCAATGATAATAATAAATGAACATGAGAAAATCACTGATAAAATTTGTCTCATCGTCTTAATGAACCTACTAACGTTTTATTTTTCTTACCCGATTTCAGCGGCAATTACGTTGGACGCTCACCGTACAGAACAGCATGAGGAATAGTTGGCTTCCGAAATCAATCGTTTTTGCAACTATCTTTTTTAACATTTCACATATCACATATCACTACTGTACACCGGTGAAAATCGCCTAATTTGTATATTTGTATTGAAGTGAAATTATCTTTTCCAAATAATAATCCTTCGAATGTCAGGCTAAGTCTTGATGTCTTTTGATTTCCGCGTTTTATTCCTGTGTGACTGGAGTGTCCGTTGAGGAATGGGATATTGCAATAATTAATTCGTTGCCAGTCGTGTGTCAGCTTACTACCGAAATCCGTTTCTGTCTACACACTAGTCAGTAGCATGACATGCTTTCACACACAGAAGCTTTACTCCTGCATACTGCAATTCTAGAGTATGATAACTTCTCTATCACTACAAAAAGATGAATTTACAAAATACGCGTAACTCAAAGAAATTTAGTTTGCTTCCAAATTTTCATTTGTTTGAAGGAAAGAAGATCAATGTCATGTGTGTCAGATCCCACTCACTGATCAATCAATTGTAAATACATCCCAGTGCTACAGGACGTCAGTCGTGGTCCGGATAACTCAGTGTTAAAGTCTCCGATTGTGATACTGGGTGATACGGGATGGAGTCTGTCAGGGAGCATCAATTCCCATAAGATGACAGTTACACTTTGCTGACGAGTGCCAAGTAGCACGAAACCTAGATCCATAGTTTCCTTTAGACTAATTCGAATTATCATCTCATCTCAATATAGTACATGTGATGTCGAGTCACTTAAACTAGTGATCACAATGTTGCTTGGTCGATAGAATTCGATCTGATTTTAGATTTACATGACACATATGACATTGATCACCACCTGGTGATCAATCCATTATGAATACATAGATTATTTGCTAGCTATCAGTATTTGAATATATCCGAGGTATGTTTCAGCACTACTTATTATATCGAAAACAGTAGTGCAAAAACATGCAACCAGAGGTCAAATTTCAAGTCACAATTTATTTCGAAAATAATCAATGAATATCGTCTATATAAATATTTTTTTACACAAAAAGCATTTCGATTTTTCCCCTCAAGGTCATATGCAATCAACTACTCATTTAGTTTTTCACCAATAGAAAAACAAACAACACAGACAACCATTAATTTTTTTTCTTTTTTTAAAAGAACATCGTTGACAACTGTTTTGCATAAATTTCGCATAGTAAATATATATATATATATATATATATTTCAATGGAGGTTAAATATCCATAGAAACTGTTGTAAAAATAAAGAAAAGAAAAAAGAGAAAAAAGAAGTGAAACTAAACAAATCATAATTTCCATGAACTCTGGCTAAACACTTTCAAAATTTGAATTTCATTAAACATTTTTCAATATTCTATAAATTTATGACAGGAAAGGGAGGAAAATAAAAATAAAAAATAAAAAGAAAGAAAAGTAGAAAGAAAGAAAAATAGAAAAGAAAGAAAAAACGACAAGAAATTTAATTCTTTTGATTTTGTTACATATTGTTTCTCAAAAAATAAAGAAAAAAAGAAAAAAGAAACAAAACATACATACACACCATGTCAATTTTTCGATTATTATGTTTTTTAATTACAATTATATTGGCAATTTGTACATTAGGGGTTGGTTTAATTTTATCACCATATTGGAAAGGTAAGTTATGAAATATCCTTTTTCGTTTGTTTCCTTTTTTAAATATTTTTGGCATGAATTCTGTAATTAAAGTAAAGAATTACAGTTGATTTATTAATGATTATTTATTTATATTTCACATGTTATTATGTGTAATGTGTTAAGTGCCAAATAGAACGAAACCTAGATCCAAGGTTTCCTGTAGACTAACTCGAATCACCATCTCATCTCAATATAGTACACGTAATGTCGAGTCACTTAGACTAGTGGCCACAATACAACTTGGTTAACAGAATTCGATCTGAACTTAGAAGGACATGACACATATGACATTGCTCACCACCCAGTGATCAATCCATTGTAGATACATAGAGTATTTGCTATGAAATTTTTTTGTTTTTTTTAAATATTTTTGGCATGAATTCTGTAAGTAAAGCAAAGAATTACAGTTGATTTATTAATGATTCGTTATTCATAGTTTACATGTTATTATATGTAATGTGTTAAGTTTTTCAAAAAACTCAGTTGATTACAGAGTTGAGATGACTAAATGTTTAGTGTAGATATAATATTCTTAGTATAGTTTTAGTTAACCTGAATGTTTGTTCACAACAATTGTTTCTTATTAGAATGGGAATTTGTAGAGATTGTAATAATTTTAATAGTTGAATTCATGAGTTAATTTAAGCTAAGTTGCCACTGAAAATCTGAAAACCGTTTCGTCCATGATTCCGCACGCGGAACTCGAACACATGACCTGTGGTCTCACACGCAAACGCCTAGCCTTTAGACCACTGATCTGGGATATAATGGTGTGAATGTCTAACTTCAATCGATCCATAATGTTGTGTTGGCCTTCATCCATTATCTGAAGGGGATGATTGTTTCCACCCGACACAAATTGGACTTACTAGAATTCCTGGAAATCCACTACTTACTAGTTGGCACATGATAACTATTATTAGAATATGGGTTTGTGGAGATTGCAGTGATTTCAATGGTTGAGTTTAATGAGTCTATTTAAGTTGGACCACTCAAAAGGCCATATAACATTTAGTTCATTATGTTAATTTATTGTGATACTTTTTTGTCATCAACTTCAAAAAGACTATATTCTAGAATTTTATTGAAGCTTATGTGATCAGGCTGTTTATTATGAGAAAAGTTGTAGTATCCCATTTGACCAACGATTTACTCATCTATATTACCTGTAGGATCGATGACTTATTTTTCCAATGTCAGCAATCAATGAACGATAACTGAGACCTTAACGTTTGTCGGTTCTTGAGCGACTCTCAATCCATCATTCAATAAAAAGACAAAGTCAATGAACTGTTACTTTCTCAATTGTGTAGCAATATCATGAGTCTCAAACTCATATAGTGATATAAGGTAATTTTGGCACCATATAAATAAGAAATTACGTTGTGTTCATATTTACATCATAAGTGAAAGGGAACTAAACAACAGATAGATAATTAATTTATAATAATACAAGAATGGTAAAACATGCAACAATCATTTATATACCAAATGAGAAATCAAAAATACAAGAATATGAGAATAAAATAACCCGAATATCTAGTAATTATTTCCAAAATTTACCATCATTTCAATATTCACCCAATTATAATGTTTCTGTCGTAATATCACTTGATTAATTAATTGAACTATTGAGATTCGAACAATATTTCCTTTGTAAAGTCAGTCACTCAGTAAAAACGTAGAACTTCGTACGTACATACATCAGTTCGAGTTCCCATACCACATTAGCACAGAGATGCAGTTACCGATTCAAATCCCGTAGTGGTAGAGGTAATAAGAGTATAAGCAGTAATCGGAAAGATTAGGATTTGAAGATGTTATTCAAGGAGTATAGTCCAGTGAAATAGACTTAGAAAGAGAAAAAAGGGACATGAAGAATTCAGAATATCAGAATTTCGGGGAACATAAAGAGTGGATGCACCTGAGCCATTGCAAACGATTTTGAGCCATGTCATTCAGGGTCTCTAACCATCGGTTGCTATCATCTCGCGGTCCCCAACCAGGTAGTCTACACCTACCAACATGGCTCAGTCCACTTGTCAGTGACTTCATGGACTTGTGCCATGTTCCTTTGTAAAGACTGAAGATATGATACAGTTGATCAGACTAAATTTAAATGAGTAATTGATTAAGTAAAATTCAAAAGTTTTGAACTACCTTGGTCACATATTCAATTTCTAAAACTGATCAACTTCTTTACCTAAGACAATCTATCTATTCAATTAACAAATACCATTATTAGATCTAATACAATTTACTGATGATTATTAACATGTACAAAATTATAGTTCGTGGATGCGCACTGCTGAGGACCCCATACTGGAACGAAACGGGTGTTCAGTGCTTCCAGGTAATCCATGGTGGTGATCTAGCTTCGACTGACTCATGATTTCAACTAGTGAAATATATTTTTAGTTTGTTGCCAACAATCAACAACATTACAAACTAGAATGTTAAATAATAAATTATATTGAAAATTCAATTTGACAATCCGTGTCGGGTAGAAACAGGTGTCTGCCTCAGTACAATGGAAGATGGTCGCGCAATTTCGTGGATTGGTTGGGGTTAGACATTAACACCATTGGATGCCGGCTCAGTGGTCTAGTAGGTTAAGCGTTCGCGCGCGAGGCTGAAAGCCCTGGGTTAGAATCCCACGGGGTTGGATCGTGGATGCGCACTGCTGAAGAGTCCCACAATAGGACGAAACGGCCATCCAGTGCTTCCAGGTTTTCAGTGGTGGTCTAACACCGATCGGTTTATGATCTCAATCAAAAACTTAACAATCTCCACAACCCCTAAAACTGATAATTATATTTTATCTCTTTCTATAATTTATAGATAATGAAGAACCACCAAGAGAAGCTAAAATTCATTTATCATTAAGTTTAATATCGATACTTTTTCTTGGTGCATCAGGTCTTTTAATTCTTGTCTCTATTGTATCTGGACCAGGTAGAACAAAGAAAATAATTATTATTACAGTGATATTACTTATTTTAACTAGTAAGTTTAAGGTATATTTTGTTTAGTTTTAACTATTTTTCACTATCATTATAATGTTTATTAAGTTGAAATGAAACAATGAAAAGGTCTATTACTTCATGGTTTTATTATAATATTTAACATTTAAATTATTAAGATTCATTAGTACTATGTATGAAGACGTTAATATCTGAGGGAAAGCGTGGGATGCAGCTGGATGATTTAGACTTCGCAGATGATCTGGCCCTCCTATCGCAAACGCAACAACAAATGAAGGAGAAGATGACTAGTGTAGCAGCAGCCTTAGCAGCAGTAGATCTCAATATACATAAATGGACAAGGAAGATTCTCCGATACAACACAGCATGCACCAATCCAATCATAATTGGCGGAGAAGATTTGGGAGATGTGAAAACCTTTACATATTTGGGCAGCATCAGTGATGAACACGGTGGATCAGATGCAGATGTGAAGGCATGGATCGACAAAGTAAGATCAGAATGTTTAGAACTTAAGAATATCTGGAATTCAAAGCAACTGTCAACCAACACTAAAGTCAGGATTTTCAATACAAATGTCAAGACAGTTCTACTATATGGGGCAGAAACCTGGAGAACTACGAAAGTCATCATCCAGAAGATACGAGTATTTATTAACAGTTGTCTACGCAAAATACTTCGGATCCGTTGGCCAGACACCATCAGCAACAACCTATTGTGGGAGAAAACAAACTAGATCCCAGTGGAGGAAGAAATCAGGAAGAAGCAATGGAAGTGGATAGGACCCACATTGAGGAAAGCACCCAATCGAGTCACAAGACAAGCTCTCACATAGAATCTTCAAGGCAAAAGGAGAAGAGGAAGATCAAAGAACACATTACGTCGAGAAATGAAGACAGATATGAGAAGAATGAATAACAATTGGATAGAACTAGAAAGGAAGTCCCAGGACAGAGTGGGTTGGAGAATGCTGGTCGGCGGCCTATGTTCCATTGGGAATAACAGGCGTAAGTAAGTAAATACTACGTAGTTTATAGAGAGTCTTTTGTTATAAACTGCCATCGTCCAGTAAACACTGAAAACTAAGAAAACATTAGATAGCTCACTAGAGCCTAATATCATGATAGGTTTCTGAAAGTTCTAATGGAAATTTGTGATCTGTAGAGTCTATTTGGTCAGTTTAAATGTGTGTTTTTTTCATTACAAAATACATCGCATGAGAATAGGACAGCATTCTAAATATGAACCATTAGATTTTGACTTATTATCTGAATTATTTTATGCTCAAAATAAAACCTGAACAAATTATTGCTCAATCCCATATATGATTTCAGTTTCACATAGGTGATAAGTTGAAAACAAGGAAGAAAACACGCACACAACAATCTGATATTGGTTTATCAGTGATAACTAACTTCAAATTATTCCTGTTTATATAAATTATTTAGTTAATGATATTAAAGTATATACTACAGAAAACTTGACCTACAAAATTGTTAGTGATGGTAGATCCTTAGAACTCACTTGGAAAATACCTTATTTTTGTAATTTTATTTTAAAATTTCGAATTTTCTTGTTTTCTCGCCAAAAGCGCCCATATTCACTTTCATGTCGTGTTTCCCATTTAGGAGAATCTTAAACACTATTGGTTCGTTGTATCTTTTAGTATGCTATTTTGTAACGCTTCCCAAGGACAATTTTATGCTATATATATATACGTTTGATTTGTGCCTGTTATTGCTCCTGCTTCTGGCTGTTTGCAGAATATATGTCCCCGTTCGAACTTGGACATCTCTCTATAGTTAGCAGGGTTGAGATACATCAGAATAGGTAGCTTATTGGTCTTTGGTCACAGAGTCTTGTTCGGTTCATAGACTAGGTGAACACTGAATTAAATTAGACAAACATTATAATGAGATGACGGTGAATATTTGTATCTCATGTAAATGATTTTGATGGTTTTGTTCTCTGAGCTAGATATCTTGATAGAAATTTGTATTGATGATGTCGTTCAGAAGAACAACGAAAGCTCCATGATCAAATCATCCAAATTTTAGAGAACAAAACTCTATCAAAGATGATATTGATCATTATTCAATGAAATCATTCACTATTACAGAGATTCAATCGTATTTACATAGTTTGATTGAAGTTAAGAGAGTATTCTTAATCGATTTGTTTCTTTAAAATAAACCATTATTAATATTATTGATATTATTTATAAAAAATAAGAATTCTCATTTACATTTATTTTAAAAAAGAGACCAAAACAAGTAGATCATTTTAAGTGAGAACACAAATATACATACATACTCACATGGATGTATGGACATCTTGATCACACTATACGGATATCTATTGTTTGTGCAAATGAGATGAATAGGTCTTCCACAATGCATGTATACACTCATTTGCATTTTATTGTATTTCAATGGATATTAATTTACATGTTCAATTTTATATTCATTATTGTTGTTGATTTACTGATGAAAGTAACTCTAAATAAATGTTATAAGTAATAATTTAAGAATGGAACATTTACTGAGGTCATTCACAATATGAAAATCATACATTCATAAAATGTAACACTGTTTAAAATTATAGAATTTCTAAATGTCATTGTTATGTCCTTTGGTCTGTCTACTCACTTTTGGTGCTGAGGATACTTATAATCTAATCCAAATTAAGAACTTGGCTCAATAGGCTGACCGACCTAATCTTGAGGCTAGTACGCGTGAGTTCGAAATAGGTTAGAGAGAAAGAAAACCATTCTATCACCTGGTTGGCTGACAAGCACGCGAATGAGAGAAGACAAGACAACTGCAATACTACTCGATCTATTCCCGATATCCTGATTTCAGTTCAGTTCAGATTAGTGTGAAAAGGTACATGAATAAATAAGTGAACAACCCGACCACAACTTACAATAATTAGGAAAAATACAATTATGTCCAAAGCTGGGAATTAGCGTAGAAAAATAGGGTGCAAAATATTATGTTTAAATTACAATAGCTTCGGAACAGAAAAGAGTATGGCAATGAATCATATATTGAACGAAAGCTTATGTTCTGTAGAATAGATTAGGGACAAAAATAAATGTAAGTGTTTTACAAGCTTTGAATAAAATGGAATAACGTCCCGAAAAATAGCTTTCGTAGTTTATCAGGGCTTCTTGTTTCCTTATTCACGTCATTCATCTTGTAGATTCATCCGAATATCTACACTAAAATGAACTGGTCATCAGTAAAATGATTAAAAGAGCACTAGACAGTTGTTTCATCCTATTGTGGGTCTACTCGGTAGTGCGTATCGACGATTCCGATACAATGATTGAATGAAGTAATACAAGTTACGATCAATTTTGAAACATATCATCCAATGTCTCCAACCAATACTTTACTATATTATTAATCATGATCATGAATCTATGGCTGTTTTTGTTCTATTATAGTTTTATCTACTTATTCGTGATTTCTACTTTCTTTTCTTTTCTTTTTTTTTGCTGCTTCTCCATCATTTTAGTTGGCTTTCTCTGTGCATCAATTGTATACATGTTTACTCAAGTGAATCATTCTTTTGCATTTTGGATATTTGCATCATTATGGATAAGTGTTACATGTATACCATTTGGTTTATGTATTCTTTATACAAAACCAATTCAAATGGATCGTCTTTAATTGATTAATTCTATAATGTTTATTGATTATCAATGATAATAATGATATGTTCATATGGAAGTTTTAATTTCATAATAAATCAAAGCCAAGAAAAGAATACTACTATTATTACTAGATATGTTAAATATGTTTATATATTTCTTGTATAAAATCAATGAAATATCAATAAATAATTATAAATAAATGGTTTTAATTAATATATAAATAGAAAAATTTCATTATTTGTGTTTTACCACGTGTATATAACCACTGTCAGGAAAGTCCTACTCAATACCTTCTCGCGGTGGGAGCGCTTTTTTAACGAAGTTGCAAGAATGAAAAGAGAATTTTCGGTGCCTTAACCGGATTGGTGGACACGGAGGGTCCACCTATAAGAGTTGGAAAACTCTGCTTCCAAACCGATGGTACACATTGACTACAGGATCGTGAGTGAGCAAATGGAGTATGAATCAATTATTAATTATCAGCTACCATAGGACTGCATCTCCTGATGTTGCTCCACTGCCTTATGTATCAGACTTTTGGGTCGAAGACTCCGTGTGTGGCCCTCTAAAAAAAACACCTGCTTTGGTTTGGGCACCGGAACAGTATCACAGCTCACACACACAAATCAAGTAACTTGTTTGGCGCATTTGTAGTCCGTGCCCCTTTTACCAATATTTATGAGTTCAAATAATTAAATAAATAAAATGATGAACATTTAGCACTGAAACTCGATGTAATATTAATCTTGTAAGACATATTTTAAAAGTTTTGATAATATCCTTATTATTTTCACTGTGTTTAAAACAAAGATATTCAAAAGTGTATTCACTAGACAATGGATGGTGAATATAACATGGATAACAAGAAAGGAGTAAGAAATAATTAAAATGTAGTGAACGCCATTATGCAGAAACTATTGCTATGAAGGGCTTTCTACCTGACCTTCATAAACAAAAGTTAAGCGTGCGAAATTTCTCATTAACATTAGTAAAATAAACATAGTGACCCAATATTTGTGTAATACATCATCTCCATAATTAATATTTTAAACAATCTACAGATATTCACTCATGACTTTTAGATGGTGGTTGGAGGTAGTCGACAGGAAACCCTGGACGCGGGTTTCGTGCTACTTGGCACTCATCAGCAAGGTGTACCACTCATCTTGAGAGAGTTGATGCTCCCTGACAGACTCGATCCCGTATCATCCAGTTTTAGTACATGGGTACTAGACAATCTTATTTTTTACATCAAATAAATTGTGCCTTTTTCGTATTTCTGAGGCTTTGTATATCTATCGTCTCAAAGTTAACTTAATTGGCAAAGGTATATAAAGCTGTCATTCCAGATTTGTTCCTTCGCTGTCCTTTCAATAGTTAGTCATGAAGCTAAATGTTTTGCTTTTGAAATCATAGTATTTGAAAAAGGTAAATAAATACATTTTACTGTATCCTTAGTAAACTGGAGAAGTCAACCATTAATTAGAATTAAGTTGAAAGAAGTAGTGATTTCATTGTAATCTGTAAATAATCTATGTAAATTCTCAGTTACATTGAGCTTAAAATATCTGAAATGGTAACTAATTAGTTTATTAATATATTAGTTTATAGTTCGAATCAAGACCCGTTTTATCGCTAATGCAGACTCATTATAGACTTGGGTCATTTGGGCTTCTGTAGAGTATTCAGTATGAGAAGATTCAGTCTATGCCAAAGAACTAAATTGATGTGAATGAAATCGAGAAGAAAAGACTTGTCCCCTTATTTCTAGTATCTATGAAAATAAGTCAGTCTAACTTTGTTGAATTAAAAATGAACTGATTAAATAACTTTTTAAGTGTTTGAACCGTTTCAGATTTTGACGATAACATTAGTATGTACTTACATGATATAAGTAGCATAAAAATTACCACAAAAATAGCGATTCGTAACATTTTTAGGGGGTTGTTGAATTCACGAGTCCATGTAAGCTATACTACCACTGAAAAATCTGGAAGTACTGGACGGTCGTTTCGTCCTAGTACGGAATTCCTCGGCGGTGCTCACACATAGTCACGCGCGAGGAACTCGAACCCATGGCCTTTAGTTTCGCGAGCGAACGCTTAAACTCTAGACCACTGATCCGGTATCCAACGGTGTTAATGTCTAACTTCAATCGATCCATGATCTTGAACAACCCTTCAATTCAGTACTTCCAGGTTTTCAATGGTGGTTTAGCTTAGATCGATTCATGAATTCAACTACTGAAATTACTGCAATCTCCACAAATCCCTATTCTTATAATTTTA